AATCGCTTAGGCGGTTACAGCGCCAAATAAGAAGAAGAAGAAGACCAGGGACTGATCTATTCGAAAAAATTGTACATATGGTCCAATTTGCTTGAAATTCGGTATAAGTATTATAGATATACATAGTTGGAAAGGGGGTTTAAGGTGCCGCAATCGGGTATAGGCTATTTACGTGTATTTATCATCTATACCAATTATATAAAGAGAAGACGTGATCTCGCTTTTTTTTTGTAATTTTGGACACCTTTTGGTTATAGGCTGTTAGTAATCTCGTTATATACAAATCGAATTTTTCATACAGCATATCTCTGGAAGTATTTGTGGTAGAGTCCTGGAACTTGATATGCTATCAATCCCTTACTCATGGAGAAAAGTTGGGGCTATTCAAAAAAGGGGCGTGGCGCCTTCCAAGCATACTGAAAATTTTACCTATCCGTAAATACATATATAATTTTTCGCGACGTGTGTTTGTGAGTGATCTCCTCCTCAACGAGGTCCACAACTTAAAACGGCAAGAGGCGCGGGAGTCGAGTTGTTGCCAAAAAAATGTCAAGTTAAGTTATTTGTCACCATAACCATTGCTGCCCTTAGAGCGTGCAATTGCTGGCTTATGCCGATGACATCAACATCATCGGTAACAAAAACCACGAAGTCTGTTCTGCCTTTTCCAAGTTGGATAAGGAAGCAAAGCGAATGGGTCTCGTGGTAAACGAAGACAAGTCGAAGTATCTCCTGTCATCAAACAAACAGTGAGCACATTCGCGTCTTTGCACCCACGTCACTGTTGACAGTTATAATTTCGAGAAAGTAGAGTATTTCATTTACTTGGGAGCCAGCATTAACACCGATAATAATGGGCCGTATGAATAAAATATAAGCAATTGCTTTTTCTTAAAATTTCGTACACTTTACTCGATTTATTCAAACAAAATTGAAGTAAAAGATATGCAATTTTAAGAAAAAGCAATCGCTTTGTTCAGGGACCGTAACGGTTATGCTTTTTATCAAGTTAAAGTTAAAAAATAATCGTTATTTTTTTACCGATATGTTTTCAGTCAAAAATAAAAGTTACCAATTGACTTACATTTTTTCGGTCAAAAATAAAAGATAAAATATGACTTTTGCTTTTTCGGTCAAAAATAAAAGTTAAAATATGACTTTTGTTTTTTTTCAGTCAAATATAAAAGTTTAAACTTGACTTTCACTTTTTCCGAAGATTACGTTCGAAATGCATTTATGGAAATAGGCACCTATAAGGAGAAGCGGATTGATGTTGATACGGACCTTATGGATTACTGGGAGAGTAAAAAATGTATATATCCCCGACTAAGAGATCAGGCATGTATTGTACATCAAGTGCCAGCGACACAAGTCAGTGTAGAACACGCGATCTCAGCAAAAAAACTTAAAAAAACTAAAAATTCATAACCTCTTATTCTGTGAAGTGTTGAAGTGTTGGCTTTAATGTTAAACATACTCTTTTTGTGCGCTTTTGCGACACCCATACAATTATCTTCACTTTTCAGAAGCCCCAGAGTAACAAATTTCGAACGAAATCAATACATTTTGTTTAATTTGTCTGCCATATTGGATCCGCCATATTGGATTTTAGAAACCTGCTATCAGATTAGTAATCAGCCACCATAAAAACTCCGAAATACTAACAAAAACCCCCGAGTAACCAGTTTCGAGCGAATTCCATAAATTTTTTTTAAATTACATAATATTACATAATATTATAATATTATTTTTATTTTAAAAAATTTTTCCGAAATATTGGATTTTTGAAACCTGACCGAAGATTTGTAATCAGTGGCCCCATAACCTAGTAGACACGAATTGGTGTACAAATCCATCAACGCCAATCTATTAAAACAGTTTTGTACCGGATAGATACTCGATACCGACCACTATGCGGTGGCACAAAAGTTCGAAAAAAAATCTTCCATAAACTTTTAAGGTTGGCTTTTCTGTCAGTCACAGAAACAAGAAAAACTTGATTTGAATTGAAGGATGTGCATCCCATCTATATATATAATACGCGAATGGATTTTTCGTTCAGGATTCGTTCGGTCGATTTTCAAAAATGGGGTGTCAAATTAAAGCGCTTCGCCTGCAGATGTGCAAACTGGTTATATTTTGTAGAACAGAGTTGCCACTTGTAGAACAATTGAATATAAATTATTTAATAAGCAATGCCATCACAACCGCACCGTTCGTTTGATTTTCCAAAATGAGGTCTCAAATTAAAAGGCTTGGACTGCAGATATGCAATAAAGTTTTATTTTTTGAAAACAGTTGCCACATTTTAAAAAATGACATTACAATTATTTAAAAATATAAATCAATCATTACAAAATGGGTATTAATCGAAATGGTTTTGAAAAGCTTCGTTTCTTAAGTTAGGGCTGCCACCTGTTTGAAAGATCTAACTTAATTAAGTTATTCAAAAAGTATATGGAATATAAAAACACCGTAGTCAAACGAAAGAATTTTAAGAAATCTTTAGTTGAGCATTTTGTATGTTTGAAGAGAGTTGCCACGTGTTTAAAAAGTTACATTCAAATCAGTGTCGGATCCAACGGGGGTTTTGGGTGTTAAACTACGTGTCAGTCAGTGGCGGACGCATGTATTATGTATTCAAAGTTTCATACATTTTTTAAACAAATAAAATCTGAAAATTAAAAAGAACTAGTTTCTAAAATTTAAATGAGAAAAAATACTTTTCTTTGTAAAACAACAAAATCTAGATTTAAAATAAAACTAATTAAAAAAAAAAATTAAAAAAAAAAAACGTGCATTCGAACCTCGGATCTCTCCAATGGCATGCCAGTGCTTTGATTGAGAAGGTAACTTTATTTTGTAAAACTTTCGTGCTAGAATAAACCAAAACTTTCAAACTATTTTTCAACTACATATCTTAGCCAGAATTACTCTGTTCGACTTATACTCTTAAGAAAATCTCGTATCCATTCAGAATCCGAAACATAACTCCATCCAAATACCCAACGCTTGGAGTGACTTCCTAAAGCTCAGCATAATACATAGATCTACATAGCTTGAAGGTCGCAGCGCTAGTGTGGCATTATAATAAAACGTATGGCATGACTGTACAAAATTGAGAAAAATAGCGTTACTACAATGATACTCAAGTTGAAAAACAGAATAGAAAAAATAGAATTCCAACAACTATGCTTAATTTTTTTTAGGGCAAATTCAGCACAACTGAAGCCCCACTTATTTCTTTGTCACACAGGTTGTTCTTTGTTAGTTTTAATTCCCCAAAAACTGTGTCAAAGCTTTAAAAACTTCTTTTATTTTTTGCGGAACAGCTGTGAAAACAAAAAACACCACAAACGCATACCCATTAATATGTCGGCGGCGACCGGAGGTACATATGTACGTGAATAAGCAAATAACAAATGACATTAAGTAGGTGCGCGGCACTTTGTCGCATACGTAAATTAAAGTACCAAAAATGCGTAATTAATGATTACGAATTATTATTTCGAGTAGTGTGGCCAGACTAGCTCAGCAGCGAAAAAGGAAAAGTGAACGAAAGCAATATATTTGTTGGTGTTAAAAGGTCATGCAGCTAGCAAAATGCTCATGCAGGACATGAGTAGCATTTCCGGAATATTTTCTTTTGTATTTTTTCGACCATTGTCGCCCTTAAACATAACCCAACGCCTACACTGGGCTAAAATAGAAAGGAATTACTCTCTTCAGCGCGCTTTGAAGCGCGGCACCTTGTCACGCACAGAAAGTAATCTAATGTTTGTATGTGACATATTTATAAATATGTACATACATATGTACATATGTATGTGTGTACGTATATTTTAATTACATACCTACAAGCATGCATATTTACAAATGTGTGCTTTTAGTGTTTATTTGTGAAATGACAAGTATTCAAAATGTCAATGAACTTACTTCTTTGGATTTATAGCACATCAAATGTATTGTATTGTATTGTATTGTATTGGACAGTGTTGATTTTGTTCTTGTTACTGTTGTTGCTGTTTGTTTGTTATGTTATAGTAGAAGTGTACAGAATAAGACGCCGCTAGACGCGCGCATAAATATTTCAAAACATTCATTTCATTGAATGTAAAAATAAATAGAATAAAACACTAAACTTAAAGCTCAAGAAAAAGCTTTCTATCACAAAATTCTCTTTCGCGCAGATGAAATCTCTGCGCTATACTCTTATAGACCAAATAGAGAAACTCTTAA